CTTTTTGAGACAGGGTCTCCCTGTAGCCCCAGCTGGCCTGGAACTCACTATGTAGACCAGGCTGGCCTTGAACTCACAGAGATCCACCTGCCTCTGTCTCCCAAGTGTTGGGACTACAGGTGTGCGCTGAGCAGCCAGTACTTTTAACTGCTGAGCTGTCTCTAGCCCTGTGTTGTTCTTTTTAAGTGCAATGCTATATACATTTACTTAAACCATTAGCAATAGATGTTTGTATAGCTATAGAGAATAAAAATTATTTGCTTACCCAGTTATCATTAAAAGAGCAAGAAAAAAATATGTGTATATAGTGACAGCCTCTGTTTCTATATGACACTGATTCATTCATTTTGCCTGGCCTTGAGGGAGGGGGAAGAGTTGGCAGGAGTCCCTTGCCCAAAGTGCTTGGAATCAGAAAAAATAATGTTTCAGATTTTTTTATATTGAAATATTTGCATATACATTATAAAATACTTGGGAATGGAACCCAAGTCTAAACATGAAGCTCTTTACAACTTCAACATATTCTGAAGGTGACACTATACAATATTTTAAATAATTTTGTGCATAAACAAAATTGTGTGGCATTTTCATCTTCTGGTATCATGTCAGAAGTTTTAGATTCTGAAGCATTTCAGATTTGGGGTGTTTGTCAATATTTACCTGCTCCTTTGCTGTGTTTGATTCTGAGTCTGGTGAGTGTAAACATCTCACCTTTTCCTTTATTTCTTCTTTGGATAGGGCCGATGAGGGAATGTGGTTGGTTCTTAAAATCTTTCTGCCCCCTCTTCTGAAAAGATCCCTGAGCCTTGGGGCTAAGAGTATGATAATGTCCCATGTAGGGTTAAGCACTCCACTCTCCACAGACTTTTATTCCCTGCATGTTGACCGCTTATGAGTCTGTTCGTTAGCTTCTGCTGTAAGAAACAACTTCTCTGAGGTGGGTTGAGAGAGGCACTCATCTATAGGTATAGCAATAAGTCTTGAGGAGCCATTGTAATACTATGTCCATTTAGTAGAATATTAGTAGTAGGTTCTCTCCGAGGGCCCTATGACCTATCTAGCCGTAGGTTCTTGGCCCCAATAATCGTACCAGGTAAGTATTCTTTTGAATGGAATAGGCCTAAATCCAATCAGGGAGTGGTTCTGGGTAGCAGGGCAGTTGCATATACGAACTCAAAACTGTATCAGTATGCATAAGACCAATAGAAGCTCAAACCACACAGAATCCCAGCATGGAAGGGAGGAGGTAGACATGAAGTTCCAACCCTAGCTGAGGAGCTGTTGGCATTTAACAGCTGCTGGGAGGGGAAGAACCAGTCTTCTTTAAGAGTGACCCCTGGTAGGTTGTCTACACTCTGGAGCCGGTTTCATGCTCAAGACTATTTGGGCAAGATGAACACAAAATTGAATGGGAAGAGAAGTGGGTGTGGATCTGGGAAGAGTTGGGGGAGGAGTGATTATGATCAAAATACATTGTATGAAATTCTCAAAGAATAAATTTTAAAAATATATCACTTAAATAGGGCTGGTGAGATAACTTAGCCAGTTAGGGCACTTGTCATCAAGCCTGACAACATGAGTTCCATCCCTGGGACCCACATGTTGGAAAGAGATTAACTAATTCTCACAAGTTGTCCTCTCACCTCCATGCACTTGCCTCTCTCACATGTATACACACACGCACACACACACACACTTGAAATAAATTTAATTTTAATGTATCACTAAAGAAAAGATGCATAATGCTGAACAGCCTTTGGACAGTTTTCAAGGCCATTATTGACACTTTCATGAGTTTATAGCTATACACTTGCAGCCAGCAACTGAGAGGCACTAGGGCTGGAAATATAGCTCAGTGGGTTACAGTGCTAGCCATGCATGTGTAAAGGTGGGAGTTCAGATCCCCAGAATCCACAGACAGGTAGATGTGGCAGCCCACGTCTAATCCCAGGTAGGGAGGGAGATACTGGGTCCCCTAGAGCAGGCTGGCTAGGGAGGCTAGCTGTGTGGTGAAGCTCTGCTTCAGTGAATAAGGTGGAGAGCAATCAAAGAGGACTTCAGTGTCAGCCTCAGGCCTCCACAGACATGTGCACACACAGGCATGGGCACCTGCACACACACATGCCCAGACATGTGAACATACATACACAGACACATGTACAGCACATACAGACACATGAGGAATAAAACTAATGAGGCACTAAATTTTCAGAAATTACTTACAATATAGATTATAAAGAAACTCTGGGTTTTGTTTTTGTTTTGTTTTGTTTTGTTTTTAACTTTTTAAGAGAGAGTTTGTTTCATTTAGCCCAGACTGGATTTGAGAACTCACTGTGTAGCTGAGGATGATCTTGAATTCCTGATCCTCCTCCTTCACCTCCTAATTACAGGCATGCACCACCATGCCTAGTTTAAACTTGCTTTATACTATATTTTATTGGAGTTCAGTGAACTGTTATGGTAAATAATACCTTGGTGCTATGGTGATTCAGAACAAGGGAGAAAGAGAAGCTGAATTTCAATTCATTTGCAAAAGAAGCCTCAGCCAGTTGGGTTGATATATATGGCCCTTCAGTCAGTCCAGAGTTGAGGCTTTTGTTCCTGGCTCTGTGCTACTGTACATAGCACAGTGAAGCAGTGGGCAAAGGCAGGTCCTAGAGAGCAGCCCAGAAGTGAGCTGTTAGGAGCCAGCTTTCCCAGCTGCAGGGTGGGGGCTATGTCTTCATTCCAAGCGGAAGGCATCTGGGCAGCTACCCCTGCCTTCAGTTCATGAAACTCAGTGTGGAGTGTTCATGGGGGAAGGAGAGGAGAAAAAGTCCATGTATATCATTTCTCTTTGTACTGTTACATTTAATTCCCCAGAATTCCTCTCCTGCTGTTGACTTCAGGACTGTGAACCAAGCACATTATACCAGCTTAATAAATGATGAGACCATAGCAGTTTGGAGACAAAAGCTCTCAGAACACAGCAATGCAAATACAGTCAAGTAAGTGGTCTTTCGCCTTCATTTTGCTTCTTCCTAAGTGTGCTGGAGTGTTCTAGCTGAGGGAGTGCTGTTCTTTGCTTCCATATTGAGCTTATGAGTGTATATGGAGTTTTACACTTAGGGAATCTTTTGTTTTTGCACATGTATTCAGATTCATCTCATTAGCCTCTAATAACACAATGGGTTGCTTCCCAGTTCTCACATAGGGCTGTTCCTCAACTTGCCGTATTCATTATAAGATCTGAGGAATCCTATCTGAGGAAGATTCCAGTTGGTCTTTCTGCTAAGAGAGCTGTGTTGTGCCATGTATTGAAATGGGTTTCTTCACATATTCCAAAGAATCTTGAACCTTAATAACCTTTTATTTAATTTTGAGTAACTTACAGCATTTTGTCACTCAAAATGAGTGAGGCTTTTTAAATCAAGTTTATTTTTTAAGGAGAATGATTTTCTGTACGCTGCTTATGTATTGTTACTGACTTTCCTCAGCATTTCTATCTTTTTCTTGAGAATGAAGAAATCAATCTGTAATAAAGGTGGCTATTTTAACAAATGTTCATGATAGGTCTTGCTTTATGATCAAGATTGTACTGGAACAAATGACCTGGACCCGAACTTTGGAGCTCTCTGACTAATAATTTTCCAATGTGGCGCTGGGATCACTCTGCAGCATCCCCCAGAGTCTCTCTCCTGTTTGGGGGCCTTGCTAAGGAGTTTAGGCCAGAGAGCAAGTGGGGCCAAGGAAAGGCTGGGCTTGGGAACATCTGGGAAGCTGAATGCGTGCATTTGACCAGTGCTTCTGTCTTCTATAGTATTTTTGATTGTTTGTTTTTTGAGACAGGGTCTCCTTGTAGCCCCATCTGGCCTGGAACTCACTGTATAGACTAGGTTGACTTTGATCTCATAGAGATCCCCCTGCCTCTGCCTTTGAGTGTTGGGATTAAAGGCATGCACCACCGCATCTGGCTTTGCTTTTGTATTCTTATTTATACAATAAAGGTGAAGAAATTGTCCTGAAGATCTTACCTGGTCCAAACCTTACAAGTGACAGATGTTATTGCAATCTCCCCCTAGCCATTTTTTTTTTTTGTTTTATTCCTTATCTCTTTATACTCAATGAGAAGTTCCAGGGTTCCTGACAGGCATTTTCACTCTGGGTCCTCAGGAAGTAGGCACCTTTTCAGACCCTGTATAATTTGAATATAGAAATAACAAATTCAGTCATTTTTAGTTTCTTTCTCAGGCGAGCAATAGGAAGAAGTGGCTGGACAGTTAGTAGTTTCTGTACTTTGGAAATAACACTCAGCATTTTTTGTTTGTTTTATTTTGTGTTTATAATGAATGATAGTAAGACAATGTCCAAGACAGTTATCAGAAGCAATTTTTCTTTTACGAGTTTTGATACTTAAAAAAAAAAAAACAACTTTGGAAAACTTGAGTTCTTGTCCATTTGGATGTATGTGTTGTTACATCTAAAGTGCACATTTTCCAGAGGTAAGGAGGGCTGTACAGCCAAGGCATATTAAGAGGCTGAGTAAACAGATGACAGGTTTGTTGCTGATGCTTATACAACTATTTATTTGTAATTATTAAAACACTCTCTTTTTTCCTTTTTTGTTTTGAGTAGTGGTGTTGTTCAGATACTGTCTTCTGCAGCCTGTTGGAATGGAAGTTTTCTGGAAAAAAAGTAAGTGATTTTTTAAAAGCCCATGTATAATGTAAATACTTACTAAAGCCTGCGAAAGACATCTTTTGAATGGTGGTTGGTCTTAACTTGGGGATAAAATTGACACTTTGCATAAAAATCAGAATAGCCAATAATGATGAATCAGAGGACACCAGGAAGGACACTGCTGACATACCCCCAGCTGGCAAGGAGATAGATTATGGAGAGAAATGATAACTCATGAGGAACTTGTGTAACCCAAAGCCAGAGTTCTAGGGTATTCTACAATGGTACTCCCATATGTGTGCATGATTTATTCTTAATTCTTTAAATAATTTATTGGTTTCTTTAGTTTGCTAAGGTTTTTCATTTCTTGCCAGGAGTGTGCTTATGAAGTTTCAGGGAGGCTTCAGGAGCCCTTGGATTCAGGCTCAGCTCAGCTGTCCCAGAAATTATATCTGAGGCTGAATCCTAGTCAGCAGATAGAATGTTTCCATGTTTGGCCTAATCTGCAGATAGCCCCCTTGGGAACCTGATGCAGCAGAATGGGCTTGCCAATCCCACATCCTGATCATTTCTTAGCCCTTTCTACCAGTGTACCAGGCTAATGAGAATTCAGGATAGGTGTGTTAATCAGCTTTCTGTTACTGTGACATACCTGTGGCTGACTTTAAAGAGGACTTTTGCTTTGGCTGTGGTTTCAGTGTTTCAGTCCATGGTGAGTTGGTCACATTTCCTTTGGACCAGTGGTGAGGAAGGACATCACAGCAGGAGAGGAACCAGATAGAAGCTACTTACCTTGTTAGCCGTGGTGGCACACACTTTTAATCCCAGCACTTGGGAGGCAGAGGCAGGCAGATCTCTGTGAGTTTGAGGCCAGCCTGGTCTACCTAGTGAGTTCAGCTGGACAGCTGGAGCTACAGGGAGACCCTGTCTTCAAAAGACAAAAGAAAAAAGAAAAGGGGGG